AATTAATATAAATATAATATAATATTAAGATAAGATATTAATACAATAAAATTTTATTATATTATTAAAATATTAATATATTGATACAAAAATTTCGATAATTCTAATAATTTATCATTGTGATTTATTCGAAATTATAATCAATTATTGATTTATATTATTTATTTCTTATTTAAATAATTATACTCGATATTTTAACTATCTCTCACCTCACATGAATCATACTACATCGTATAAATAGAGTTTTGTATCGATAAACCGTGTGAAATATTAACCATTGATCGATTGTAGAAGCTGCGGTTAAACGATATTGTAACCAAGAGGTGAAGGTGACCACAGAGGAAGGAGGTTACATCAACACACCGGGCTACCCGCTATACTATCTCGGGGAAAGCACGTGCGGTTGGACCTTCAGAACATTTCCGGATCAGAGAATAGTTCTGACCTTCCACGACTTGAACATCCGCGGTAAGCATATATTTTAATCCGGCGATCCCGAAATTTTTCCATCATAACACGATGTAAATTGAATTGTTTTGATTGATATACATTTTTACATATAATGACCGAATGATATGATTATTCGCCATGACTTCACGCGAACTATTTAGGTCAGAATCTGAATAATCTCTAAATAATCCGCGATTGGTAGCGGACGTCATCGATAAACCGTAAAATATGCCAGATGAATTTTTCTATCAAATTATAAAAATAAAACGACTAGATTATTGACTATCGTTCGAGGATTCCACGCGAATTATTTAATACACATTAATATGTATGCCAAAAATTTTTGAATATAAATTGCAATAATTCTAATAATTTATTATTGTGGTTTATCCGAAATGATAATCAATTATTAATTTATATTATTTATATACATTAATACATATGCTAAGAATTTTTATTCGTTCCTTAAAATCTTTATTTTTATTTCAAATAACGATTTTAATATTGAACATATGTGCTGCCATGGCTCGATCGAATTAAGGAACTGCATCGGTGGATCTCAAATAAACGGCCTATCTCGACGAACTCGATTTTATACGCGCTTCGTATAAATAAACTTTGGATAGAAAACCGCAGATAAATTTTCGCAGGCCCACAGATGGATGGAAGCTGCGTAGACATCGTGCGAGTGCGAGATCGTGGCAGCACTCTCTTCGAGTTCTGCGGCACCGCAGCAGGCACTCGGATCGTCTCGAACTCAAACGTGTTAACGCTCGACTTCATCGCTTCCAGAAGGCTCTATAGCGCCCGAGGATTTTTATTGCAATACCAAGGTAAACAAAAAGAAATCTTCAATTTTTATTTTTCTTTCTAGAAGATAAGAAGCGAATGTAAAGCTCTTAAAGATAAAAGTACTCAAAAAGCTTTAATAAAAGCTTTAGATAAGATTGGCTTTTACTTTCCTTCTCTATGATTACTTTATTTTCTTTATTTTGTGCAAATTACATCTGAAAAAGAATTTTAAATAATATTATTTAAATCAAATTTACAACATAAAAAACTGCATATTTTTGCAAAATTTAATTTGATCGCGTCTTAAGATTTTTAATATTAGGTAATATTAAATAAGAATTTACTATATTAATACTATTACATGAAATATAGTATCTTTGTTACTAAAAATACCAAATATCAATGAACATTTTATAAAAAAAACAAGAAATCTTGAGTCCTCCTTCCTCCCTTCTTTCCCGAAAATGCGATAAAAAATATCGCGAACACATTGTTACGCAACAATGAATCCGAGAATAATTTTAACGGAGATATTGTACTTTCATGCTTCACAAAAAAGGATAGGTCTGTGCGAAATTAATTAAATCGACCATATTATTCGAATGAAGTTAGTATTCTGATGTAATTAATAGAGTTCTAGCAATTCTCCGAAAAGTTTTGAAGTTACAGATTTAAAATAAGATTGCACTTTTTGACGCTCAATTTTTTATTAAAAAAATGGGAATAATTTTAAACGATGCAAACAATGTCTCGGAAATATTAAATTTAAATTTAAAAATGCTTCTTTAATATTTGATGGCAAATTACGTTTAAAATGAGACCGTTTAAAAGACAACAATTAAAATTTTAGCGTCCTGAAATTATTTTTAAATATTATATATATAATATTAACTTCAACGATATTATATTCAACATATAATTATAAATAACGTATAATTCAACTAACTTTATATATGTTAGTCATATAAATTTTCAAAGCAGAGTTTAACTTAACAGGGAGTTATTTTTACGTTTCCTAAAAACACAATAACTCTATTTTAATATGACTAAAACTTTTAATAATTTATTAGTATCACTAAAGTGCTCAAAATCATATAAAAATCCTATATATAATGAAAATTCTCTAAAAGACGAGGAGTAAGAAATTGTAACTTGAAAATAGTATTAATCACGAGATAATAGGTAAAGAAGGCAAGGGTATGGTGAGAAAATGAATTTATGCTTACAGTGTTAGGCTGTCCGGAGATCTTAGCGCCAAACGGAAGTTACGTGTCCAACGGTACATTGACTTCGCGAACATTCTTATGCAAGTCGGGCAGCGTATTTTCCGACAGCATGGAAAGAAAAAGAACACTCGAGTGCAAGAATGGCAAATGGAACGAGACTACCACCAAGTTACCTGGTTGCGTGGGTAAGAATTTTTCTGATAGATCCATTATGTTAAATTGCACTTTATATTTTTGGTTATTTGCGTCATATTTTATATATTTTATTCATCGGCTATTCTGTTATATTTCCATTTCACCGTGATAGGATATACTTTATTCTATTCTATTCCGCGCAAATTTTTATATTTTACATATATCTCATTGATTTAATTTAAATTTTTATGTGAAAGGAAAGCGTGCATGTAAATGGAAATCATGCATTTTTTTGTGCGTAAAATAATATGCAAAATCAATATGTGTTGATATATTTAAATTTAAATCTTTTTATCCTATATTACATAAAAATTAAAATTCATAAATTGTTGATGGTGTTAAAAAAAATTAATTTTTTTTTTAATATGACGGGTAGAGCGGAAGCCTGACTCATTGTCAGATGCAAGTGAACGTTGAAAGATTAATTATAGATTCGAGATTAATAGCTTGTTCCCCGTCCTTTTGAAATTTTCGAACATAACACCTCGAACCCTCGTCTCGTTCGATATTATCTACATTTTACAACCCCAAATTAACGGACGTACAACGCGTCCTTCCCTGCGATTAATTCGAAACTCCCACGCATGAGTTGGACACGCGCAATCGTTGAATTCACGCAATAATCAGCGCGATTTACGCAACGAGGCGCGCGAGATAATCGATACGGCCCTTATGAAACCCAGTAGCTAGTGATGGCACAAAGACCCCATCTAAAATTCATACCTTGCAGTTTTTTGAGTCGTAAATAGTTACAAATAATCATAGACCCTTTGTATCTTCGGTAACAAAAATAATACACATTTTATGCAATAATATTAATATAATATTTCTTATTTAATATTATCAAATTGAATTTTGCAAAAATATGTGTAGTTTTTTATGTTGTGAATTTGATTTAAATAATATTATTTAAAATTCTTTTTCAAATGTAATTTGCAAAATAAAAAAATAAAGCAAAGCATAGACAAGGAAAGTCGAAGCCAATCTTATCTAAAGCCTTTATCAAAGGCTCTTTTGAGTAATCGATTTTATCTTTAATAGCTTTACATTCGCTTCTTATCATTTAGAAATAAAAATAAAAATTGAAGATGGACAAATATTGAATAAAACAAAGCGAGATATGAAAGATAAATTCAAAGAATGGACTACATTGAGTGCTAAAACGTGCCTTTATAAAATATAAATCATCGTACTTCGAAATTTGACTAGTTTCTGCAATAAAGGGCGTATTCAGACTTTTGTTCGTCAGTGCCAGAATCGGTCAGAATGCCATCGCTACCTATGGCTGCCCATCGAGGGGGCTCTTTCTTCCCTCTCAGGGTGAATGGTGGGGAACCCCACTTCGAGGAAAGGAGCAACCGAACTGTAGCTCTCTCGGTAGGGGAAGGAAAGACAAGGAGATAAATTCAGAGAGAAAGAGAGAGAATCTTAGGGCAGAGAGGGCTCCAGTCGTCTGGACGCCACGTGTCTCTTTGGATGTGAGAAAAAATACGCGCTGCAAATTAGCCTTGAAATTCGCGAAAGTACATTCCCATCGCGTACATTCGATATATTGTGTTTCGGAAAAACATTGCTTGTATTAAAAACTCGAGGAAGATCACCATAACATCCAACAGGTAATTAATTATTCTATAAAATCACATTTAATCGTGTAAGTTTATTTCTAGATTAAAATTATCTTCGTAAATCTATGAGTTAATAATTATTAGACAAAAATGTGTGACAAATAACTAACAATAAAGTTTAAAAATTGAGTTTCTATTTAGCCAATAAATAAATGTGAGCCAAAGTTGGAATAAAATATTTTCATTATCTATTAAATATTAGAGTGAATTGTTTCTTACGATTGATGATTTTGAAGCAAAGTGCGCGATGACTCAGAATGTAAATAGAGAATTATAAACACGAAGTATTCTATTTCTTCTAACTAGATTAAAGCACAATCGATATCGCAGGCGAAGTCAACGAAATGATCTTCCCGTTGGACTTTTGTATCCATCGCGATCTCTCGAGTTAATTAATTTCGCATTTATATACAAATCGCTCCAGCTGCCTCGATAGGAATTAACGAGTCATTAATTATTAATTAATGCAAGGACAAGATTAAATTATTGAGCTTAATTGCTTTATTCATTTATTTAATTTATTAATTTTATTTAATTATGTATATTTTCTTTCTTAATAGCTTAAAATCTGAAAAATATTTATTTACATTATTAAGAGAGAAACCTTTATACATATTCCTTAGAATGTCACGTTAAATCTCTTTTCAAAGAGCCAATTAATATATATTATAAATATATATATTAATATATATTATAAATATATTATATAGTAAAAAATAATATAGAATAAATTTCCGGCAAAATTTAAAATATATAAACAGAAATATTGGAAACCATTTTAGAAAAATGCAATTTTATACAACTTTATAACAAGAAACTAGATAGGATAAAAAAGATAATTAATTGATAAAATGTAATTGATTAAAAAAATAACAAAACGAAATAATCCTCAGCATGCTGGGTACGCTTTTTTTGTTTCAATCATTTTCGAAATAAAACCGATTTCACGCAATTCAAAGAAATCCATTTCAACGCGAAACGGATCCCAATTTCCCGATAAATGAAATCGGATTTTCCATTCATCATATCGAGAAAAGAATGTTTCAGTTTCGCGGAATACGCGTGGATGCATTCAAAGCAGATGCATATATAATTCGAAAATTGTATAGCTGCAACATCGTTTCTGCTCTGTGTATTTTTGTGTAAAAAGCGCGAACGAGCAGGAAAGAGAGAGAGAGAGAAAGAGAAGAGAAACGATCGCATTTGGTCTCTTGAGGGGAGTATAAAGCGATAAAGAATGGTGGGGATGCTTCCGACCCCTCTCCTGTCTTTCTCTCTTTCTCTCTCTAGTCTTTCCTCGGGTGATAAATTTAGAGTTAGCAGAGAATAAAACAACGACGTACAGCTGCACCGATCGAGCTGGCTCCGCGAAAGTTTAGCCTCGATCTGTTGCTGAAACGAGAACTTAGCGAAGCTGTGAAGTGAACAGAATATATCGTAATTTCTTTCTAAATATATTTAAAAATATATGTATTTTATATATAATAAAGAGTTCGATTTATATTAGATATCCGTCATATATATTTATTTATAAATGTTCAATTTGTAATAATAAAAAGCAGAATATATTCAAATTCAGAAGCCATCATTAACTATCACTGTTGAAAGAGAGAATAATTATATAGTCTAAAATTTTTTACAAATATAAAATAATTCTCTAAATTATATAACAAAAAATATAAACATAAAATAAACAAAAAGATCCGTCCTTTGTTAGACTTTTCAGTCGTACAATGCACTAGTGCTCTTGGTTATTGAATCTCTTGATATGGAGAGATATTAAATTTTAATATCTACACATTATTTATATTACGTAACTTTTTATTATTAAATTCTAATAAAAAAATTATTAAATTACTAAGTTTCGATGTAAGGTTATTAAACTTTGACGCGGAATTATATCAAACTTTGCTCTATATATATTATCACGAAGTTTTGTTATCTTCTGATGTCGACTTATCAAGTTTCCTGTAGGTCGTTATTAATTATTATATCCCGATACGAATTTAAAAAAATCCGATATTACACAGCAATGTGTAACTATTCCGCTACCCGTCCGCCACCGAAAACGATTGCGATCCTCTATATTTTTCGCGAAATCGATACTTCGTGCCTACCATCGACCTATCGTGCACCAAGAGAACGGCCAACTTGTTTTCGACGAACGCGTCGACGAGGGGAGAGGTAGAGTGAGAGGGAAAG